GAGGAGTGGCTGGTGGGTTTGAACCGCCAGCCGTCTGGTTAGCAGGCAAGTGTCTTAGCCACTATGCTACCAGAGCTCCCTTTATATAAATATAGTCATATATTAATGTAGATGGGTGGAGAGGATGAAAAGAACAGGAATGGAAGCATAATCTCTTTGAAAGGCCTTTTGATATATAGCTTTGACTTTGGAATCATCTCTCTGTTTTACATATGGAAAATAAAATTAAATCAACTGGGGAAAAGTAAGCTAATTATATATCAAATTCATAACATAATCACACACACACACACACAAAAAACCGTAATTCAAGTTATTTTAGAACATACTACTTTCATCACATCCCTTAGTGAAAATAGTGTAAGGACAAAAAGAAATGCAAAGAAATCTTCAAATTCTTTAGAAGCTTTACTGTTCATTGTAATACTGGTATTGTTGATTTTGATACCAGAAGGAAACAAATAGACAAACCTAGACTGTGGGAAATTCAGTAGACAATAAACAAATGTTCTCTAAGAAATCAATGGCAGGAAAATGTAGTGGGAGAACTGCCAGCTCAAAAGAGACTTCAGAACTCTGAAAACCAAACGTAAGGTGAGGTCATGGTTCATGTTATGATTTTTTTGTAAAAATTAGGAAAATTTGATTGCAATTTTCAGTTGATACAAGAAATCATCATCATTAGTAGTAGTACTTGTAATTATTATTATTTTAAGTATGTGATGGTACATTGTGGTTAGGCAAAAAAGTCTCTTTTTTTAATATCTTCTGAGATGTGAAGGGATAGAATTATGTGAATTTTAGGATTTGTTTTATAAAAAGAAATAAAATCAAAAACAAAGCAGAAATGAAGCAAATGTTGTGATAAGTGATAATTATAGGGAGTCTCTATGTATTACTCTACTTTTGTAAATGTTTGAAAATTTCCAAAATAAGAAAATAAGATTTAAAAAATATATAAACAAATAACTAACATCAAGGAAACCTAAAGAGATCCTTGGCCCCAACAAAAGAAGGAGGCTCACTTCTAGTTCCCCACTTACTCCCTTCCCCATTGCTTGATATTTCAGTCCAGATCAGATTTTCTAATGATTGTAGGTCTAAAGAGGTGGAAAGAACAACAATAAATAGTTTGACCGACAGACAGACAGACGCACCTGAGTAAAGTTTTTTAAATCAAATTCCTGACTTTTTAAAACCAAGTTCACGTAACTCTTATTAAACCTTTACCAGTGTTGTCATGTGAGGTTCTTAAAGATCTCACATAAAATCAAATGATAAAAAATTAATTAACTATTTTAAGCCAGGAAGTGAATGGTCTCTGAGCTCTGGTAGCATAGTGCCTAAGGTACTTGACTGCTAACCAGAAAGCTGGGGGTTCCATCCCACCAGCCACTGCTTGGAAGGAAGGTTGGGCAATCTACTTCTGTAGTGATACTACCTCGGAAACCCAAGGAGGGGTCGCTATGAGTCGGATCCAACTCGAAGGCAGTGAGTTTGGTTTGGTTTGGGTAGCACCATTGGTTAACATACTTGATTACTAACCTTAAAGGATGTTAGTTTGAATCCACCTAGAAGCACCTCAGAAGAATGTCCTAGTGACCACTTCCAAAAGGTCACAGCTGTAGAAAAGCCTCTGGAGTGCAGTTCTACACTGAGATACTCAGGGTTGCCATGAGGCAGAATAAACTTTATGGCAACTGGTTTAGTTTTGGTTTTACTGAACGATATAATGAGATTTTTATTTTAGAAGTATCATCTTAAAAATAGGACAGAAGTTGAAGTCATATTTCAGTGCGTGGAAAAGGAAGTTGGGTGATTAAAAAATGAGAGTAAGAAAAGAACACTCTTTCACCAACTTGATAGAAAAGGTTAGGAAAGATGAAGCAATGGCTAAAAGTAAATGTAAAGCAAAAGGAAAGCTTTTTTCCCTTCCCCTTTTTAATGGAGAAATTTGATAGGAACTAGGGTATAGTAATAAGGAAGAATTTGATATAAGACAGGTGATAAACAATGGAGTAAAGTCCCAGAGGTGACTGAAAGGTATATTTACAGAATATAGAAGAATTGGCCTTAAACAAGAAAAGATTTTTCATTGCTGAGTTATATACTTTATAAGATATAATGCTAGCTGGAAATATAGATATATTGTGTGCTGTCACATTGATTCCACCTCATAGAGACTCCATAGCAATCCTGTAAGACAGAGTAGAACTGCCTCACAGGATTTCTTTTACTGTCATATTTACAGGAGCTGATTGCTAGGTCTTTTCTCCTACAGAGCAGTTGACGATATTTTGGTTAGCAGCCAACTGCTTAACCATTGTACCAACATGGCTTGTTTACATATGGATATATAGATACACATCTATAAGAGGGACTGAGAAGTTCAAGGAGATCCAGTCAGAATAATTCTTTTTCTTTTACGTGGCATTTAGCAATTATCTAAGGAAAGAAAGGTTAGTCAGAGTGATGTAAGTAGCCAAGGATAATAGTGATGAAAGGCTTTGCCAGGGAGCATTTATGACTATTGGTGAGAACATGGAAAGCAGAGATGAAGTTAGGGTTCATAAAAGCATGTCTTGAAACAGAGGTGTTATTTCCTCCAGTAGAGCTCAAATGACTACTGGGTACAAAAAATACAAGGAGATAAATATACTAAGGACATGGGGCTGCTGACAGCTACCCATTTACTCCATGGTGGGAACATATCACTTTTATATACATTAAAATAATTATTTTCCTAATAAATGTTAGGAAAAGTTTAAGTACTTATAGCATGAATAAAATATACTAATTACAATAGTTTATTCTTAAAAAGAAGTAAATGAAAAAAAAAAAATAACCATTAGAAATTATGCTTAAATATTTAAATCACATTGTTCTTACCAATTCGAGTGATTTTATTGTATGAAAGTTCAAGATTTTGAATATTAGTGCAACCATCCAAACCATGCAAGGAACTGAGTTGATTTTTATTAAGAAGAAGAATGCAGAGATTTTCCAAATTTTCACAATTGATAGTCTCAATGTGGTTTTCCTAAAACAGAAGACAAATATAACAACTTTTATTTCAGTAGCTTACTAATGAAATACTTCAAAGCTTGCAAAAAGAGCAAGAATGATATATGGTGTGTTAATGAATATCTGAATCTCTGATGTCTAAGGTAACTACTCAGACTGTTACACTATCGAGATGAAAATATTGGAACCAACTCAACAGCAATTACACATACATTACAATAAATAATTAACTGATTTTCAATTTATTTACTAAATATCTTTCAAAGTGTAGAAAATACAAAGAATAATACAATTAGTTTGTTTTCCAAACAACCTAAATGAACATGAGTGAATATTTTGCCATTGTTTCTATAAAACTTATTTTTTACATATCAAATATTAAAAAAGTTGAAGCTCCCTGATTTCCTGTTCCCAGTCCATTTTGCCTTCTGCTTCTCCAAAGATCCAATATCATGAATCTCATTCATAGATTTATACTTTCACTACACACACACACATATCTCCACAATATATAATATTGGCCTCAGGTTCAAGATCACGTCAAGGTTCCTTTGTACGATAGCAGAAAAATAAATATGCTTCTAAAATATTAATGTTATATAGTCCAATAGCATTTGTTTAGAAAGAAGCTTGTCTCAAAAAGCTTCATAAGTATAGCCCTTGTCTAATGGAGAAACTCTGGTAGCATAGTGCCTAAAGCACTTGACTGCTAACCAGAAGGCTGCTAGTTCAAGCCCACCAGCCATTCCTTGGAAGGAAGATTGAGCAATCTGCTTCTGTAGTGATACTGCCTCAGAAACCCAAGGAGGGGTCCCTATGAGTTGGGTCCGACTTGATGGCACATAACAACAACAATAATAACAACAGTCTACGTTAATAAGAAGCCTAAGAAACCCACAATGTTTTTAAAAGAAATCATATTGATGGAAGAAGTGTTAGCCTGAACTGAAAAGTATAGCAATAGATCAAAATGAAAAGACACCTCTAAATCTCCAAACTTCTGTGGGAAAGAGACAGGCTGCAAAAAATTCCCAGCCTCAAAATGGGATACTTCGTATAGGAAGGGAAGTATGCCTGCAGAGTAGAGTCAAAACCCCAGCTGGCAGAAACAAGAGTCAGAGAGAATTATTCCCATGGAGTAAAATTGAGTCCTTATCAATGAATTTGCAACAGGAGCTCAGTTTTGAACCAGGATTGCTATGAGCTTCCTGTTTTTTTTTTTTTTTCCCCCATTTTGAATGGGTATGACTATGGCAGTTAACTGAGCCCTGCCTCACCTCTATATGCAGGTATGTTTGTGAGTATATGTGGGGGTACCTTTTAATTTAGTCCCCCGATCTCTGAGTTGACAAGAGCTTCACCAAAGGAGACGCATCCAGTGAACTACATCTGAGTAGACTCATGTGTACCTGGACCTAATTTAGATGAGAAGACACTGCTCTTAAACCAGAGCCTGAAACCAGAGTAGATGAGACTTAGGGGATCTTTGGAACATGACTGCGTGTTGTATGTGGGAAAGATGTAATCATCCGAATGCAGAGGTTAGATTTAGGTACTGTTACTTTGGTAAAACCAGTTGCTGTCTGGTCAGTTCCTACTCATGGCAACTCTATGTGTTTCAGAGTAGAACAGCCCTCCAAAGGGTTTCAATAGCTGTGATCTTCTGGAAATAGATCATTAGGTCTTTCCTTTGATGTATTCCTTAGTTGTTATTGATAAACCCTGCATCTCAATATTCAGACCACCACACAGTCCCCTTCCACACTAACTCTGGGTTTGGCAAACAGAACATTAGCCAGCATGATGCAAGCAGATGCTTGGTAGGCAATTGCATATTGGAGCTTGTATTCTTTGAATGCTCACTCTTGGGACTGGGTCATCATGGGAAGAAGCCTCATGAGAGAGCCAGGGAGAAAGGAAGTGATGAAAGGAGAGCAAGGGAGACCGAGAGAGATACTGATTGATTTCAACCTCCCAGCCATACTGCCAGAGTACCAGACAGATGAGTGAAAGTACTTTGGACATTTCTGACTCAGCTGCCATTTGATTGTAATGACACGAGACTCAGTCGCCACAATATGAAGTAGAAGAAATTTCCAGCCAACACTGGCTTGAATTCCTGGCCCATAGAGCCATAAGCAAATAAGATGGTTGTTGTTGTAAGTTGCTAAGTAATGGGGTGTTTGTTGTGCAGCAAGAAGTTACAAAAATAATAACCACATCATCTGCAAATAGAGCAGTCATCTTCCCTTTCGGGTTCTCACAAAATTCGGCCTTTGATGTTTTCAGATCCTAAGTTATGGGTTATTTTAGTAAATGTTTCTCCAAAACTGTCATTTCTGAAGTAGAAACATCAATCTATCTTTATATTGTTGTTATTGTTGTTATGTGCCATCGAGTCAGGCCCGACTCATAGCGACCCCTCCTTGGGTTTCCAAGGCAGTATCACTACAGAAGTAGACTGCCCCATCTTCCTTCTGAGTTGTGGCTGGTGGGTTTGAACCACCAGTCTTCTGGTTAGCAGTCAAGTGTCTTAGCCACTATGCTACCAGAGAATAATGAGTAGAATAGAAGGCATACCTGTACATCAATGTACTTCAGGCTTTTGCAATTACTCAGGCTGTGCAAAGAAGTTAATCCACAGCGTCGAAGAGACAGAAACTGAAGATCTGTACACTCTGCCAGCGTAGAGAGGCTACAACCTGGCAAATCTTGAAAAGTAACTGTTGTAACCTAGACAAGTTGAAGAGAATTGAAATGCACACTATTTCACAATACTAAACGTAACCTAGATTAGTGTTACCAAATTGCTTTAAAAAATTCATCTAAGAAAATAATACTATATGTTAAAACCCACATTTATTAAAAACTCAATAGCAATTAAGCTATGTGGACTCTTCTGTTCCCCTCACAAAACCAAAACCAAACCAAACTCACTGCTGTCGAGTTGGATACGACTAATAGCAACCCCTCCTTAGGTTTCCGAGGCCATATCACTACATAAGTAGATGGCCCCATCTTCCTTCCGAGGAGTGGCTGGTGGGTTCCCTTCATAGAAAGGCAACATAATGCAATCACCTATGACCAATTCAAGTTCAAAACTATAATGAATAGATGCAATATATGTCATTAGCTCACTTCCTAATTTTTCATCAAATTCATTTTCATTATTTGTCATGCCTTTGGTACATAAACTACTCTAATCTTTGGTGCTATATAAGGGTTTGTGATGTCTGTTTGATGCTAGGGATTGCTGGCTAGTCCTATAAGGCACACAAGTCAGGGAATAGATTTTGAGTCTAATTTACCATGCTTCAACTAGAATAGCTCAGTTACATTAAAAAAGAAAATGAAAAACAAAAGAAAGTTGTTTTTTAAAAATAATTTTAGCAAGTTTTTCTTTTTAATTGTACTTTAGGTGCAAATGTACAAAGCAATTTTGTTTTACAACACAAGGAAAGTTTGATTGATAAGAGATATTATAGAAACTGTAACAAGTAGACCAAAAAAACAGACCAAATCCACTGCCATCAAGTCATAGTGACCCTACAGAACAGAGCAGAACTGCCCCATAGGGTATTGAAGACTGTAAATCTTTACAAAAGCAGACTGCCTCGTCTGTCTTCCATGGAGCAGGTGGTGGGTTTGAACCACCAACCTTTTGGTTAGCAGTCCAATATTTTTAATTACAGTGGGGCTCCTTATAACAAGTACCAAAAAATCCAAACTCACTGCCATGGAGTCAGATCTGACTTGCAGCGACCCCTCCTTGGGTTTCTGAGGTGGTATCACTATGGAAGTAGATTGCCCAATCTTCCTTCTGAGGAGTGGCTGGTGGATTTGAACTGCCAGCCTTCTGGTTAGCAGTCAAATGTCTTAGGCACTAAGCCACCAGAGCTCCCATTTCTTTTTAATAAATGCACTCCATTTAAATTGTGAGGCTATTAATAATAAAGTGATAAGATTAACATTTAGTGAACTACTTTATGAACTTATTTATCCATCCTTCCAACCATGCATCTTACAATCAAGTAATTAAAACCGCTATTTGCCTGTTAACATGCATATAGCATTGTAGAAGAAAGATGTGATTCATGCCTCAAAGGCTAAAAATGAGAGATTAAGATGGAATTCATTTCTGGGTGAAATTATAAGAATATAATTTTCTCTTCTAAATGTCTTTTCCAGGAAAATATTTCAAAGATGTCAGTGGGTGATCAGGTCAAAGTCAGAGATGTGAAGCTTACAGATTAAAAAAAAGAAAGTAAGAAACTAAGTCAATGGGTCAGGAGCAGTAGTAAATGAGGACACAATAAGCCATCTACCAATCTGAATCATCACAGGAATTGTCTGGAAACATAAGATAGTATTTTACAGCATTTCAGTATTAATGCAGAGCTCTGGTGGTGTAGCGGGTAAGACACTTGGCTGCTAACCAGAAAGTCAGAGGTTCAAACACACCAGCTGCTCCATCAAAGGAAGAGGAGGCAATCCATTTCCATAAAGGTTTACAGCCTTGGAAACCCAATGGGGGTCTTTATGAGTCAGAATTGACTCAATGGCAGTAGGTTTGGTTTTTACGGAGTTAGTATTAATGTAGCATATTCATCTATTTTTATTATTATCACCATACTACTCTATATTTGTTCCTTGAAAGGAGAATTAAATGTTTGAAATATGTGATTTGAGCAGTAGTCAAAGGGTTATAGGATCATTTAGAACACAGCTACTCCAACTGGTACATGAACCACATCAAGAGCATCACCTCTGAGCATTGTAAAAATGCAGAACACTGTCACACTCACCAGAACTATTAAACCAAAATCTGTTAGCATTTTAACAAATCCCCAGGTGATCGATGTTGTTGTTGTTGTTGTTTTGTGCCTTTGAGTCAAACCTGACTCATAGTGACCCCTCCTTGGGTTTCCGAGGCAGTATCACTACGGAAGTAGATTGCCCCATCTTTCTTCCGAGGAGTAGCTGGTGGGTTTGAACTGCCAGCCTTCTGGTGAGCAGTCAAGTGCCTTAGCCAGGAGGGGTCACTATGAGTCGGGGCCGACTCGATGGCAAACAACAAACAACAGGTGATCGATACACACATTAAAACTTGTGAGGATTTGCTCTAGAAGTAAAAAAAGTTAAACCCTAGTTTGTGTAAATTGAAAAAAAAAGATCTCTGGTGGCATAGTGCCTAAGGCATTTGACTACTAACCAGAAGGCTGGCAGTTCAAACCCACCAGCCACTCCTCAGAAGGAAGACTGGACAATCTACTTCCATAGTGATACCAGTTCAGAAACCCAAGGAGGGGTCGCTCTAAGTCGGATCTAACTCAATGGCAATGAATTTGGCTTTATTTATTTATTTTTTGGTTTTGTGTAAATTGAAGAGCTCTGGTGGAGCTCTGATGGCATAGTGCCTAGGGCATCTGACTGCTAACCAAAAGGAGGATGGTGGTTCAAACACACCAACTACTCTATGGAAGGAAGACTGAGCAATCTATTTCTATAAAGATTTATTGCTTCAGAAACCCAATGTGGGTCATTATGAGTCAGAATTTGATGGCAGTGAGTTTTCTTCTTTTTTTTTTTAGGTGGAGAAGTAGTTAAGGTATTTGGGTGCTAACCAAAGGGTTTGTAGTTCAAACCCACCAGTGGGAAAAAGATGAGACAATGTGCTACTGTAACAACTTGGGGCTTTGGGGATCACTATAACTCAATATGACCCCCATAATATTTCCAAGGCTGCAAATCTTTACAGAAGCAGGTTGTCTCATCCTTCTCCCACAGAGAGACTGGTGGGTTCAAACCACCAAACTATTTGGTTAGCAGCCCAATGCCTTAACCACAGTGCCACCCGAGCTCCTTTGTATTAGGGAAAGGAAAATATAAAAGAATGATTCTAGAGATAACAGAGCCCAAATGGGTGGGAGGGTATATGGGAATAGATGATGAGCAACTGCACCGTGTAGCTTCATAGACTTAATGAACCCGGCAAACCCATCAACGAGGATGCAGAGAGCATTTCAAAGCACATATCCTAGGATACTGCTATTTCATGTCCCAGGAATCTCTCTAAATTCCCTCTCCCAACATCTTTTTTTAGAATATCCTGAAACTTTATTTGTAGCAATGATCAAGATCCACCACTATGTATTGATCTGTGTATTTATTAGTTTAGTGCCTGTTTCCCTCAGGAAAGTAAGCTTCACAGGGCAAAGCTTCTTTGCTTCCGTCCCTTTATTCCAGTAACAGTTATTGAATGATTATATTGGACCGATGACTATATGCTGAGTGAAAGAATGCATATATATTGATATGAATGTTTCCTTCACTAGACGTCTGTCTATATCAAAAAACTAAATAAACTTTATTAAATAAATTTTAGCCTCAGACCTCATAAATACCTTCTAGCACTGCACTAGATAATCTATCTTCTTTTTATAAATGTTTGTTAGTTTCTACATTTTAATTTTGGTTGAAACTACAGGGTCCATAACCATAGAAAATTGCCTGCATTTCAGGTAATAACTATTTCAACACCAGGTTTATAAGCTTGCCTTTCATTGCACATGATTGAATAATTATGTTTCTATATGTAAAGTCTAGGGTCTTCTATCCTTATAAGCTGTTCTTTCACAACACATGGTCTTGTACAGGGAAGATCACTTCATTCCAAAAATAGCCACTAGGTGGTATGGTGACCCAAGGTTAAAGCCCTGTTCTCTTCTCTAATGCAACTTTAAATTTCCATATGCCTTCACCCTTGTTCTTGTTGTTATGTGCCATGGAGTCGGACCCAACTCATAGTGACCCCTCCTTGGGTTTCTGAGGCAGTATCACTACGGAAGTAGATTGCCCAACCTTCCTTCCAAGGAGTGGCTGGTGGGTTTGAACGGCCAACCTTCTGGTTAGCAGTCAAGTGCCTTAGGCACTACGTTACCAGAGCTCTGCCTTCACCCTTAGGCATCATTTAATAATGACTACAAGGACTTTGAACACAAGCTTCAAGATAATAAAAGAAGATAAATCAAAGCTTTTTATAGTGCTTCATTGAGGGGGTTAGAAACTTCACTGATTAAGAGACAGAATTATCGTATATAAAAGATACTGTCTATTAAGAAATGAAAAGTTGTATTTTAGGGATTCAATTTCAACCAAATGTGAAAAAAGCATTTTAATATAAGGAATACCTTCTGTAATGTATTCCAAGGGCCACTTTGAAGAATTTCTAGTGTATTCAAAGGTGGCATGGTGTTGGCTGGACATTTCACTGATCTCTTTCTTTTAATAATTTTCTTTTCTTGATGTTTCTTGAAAATTTCAAACCAGGGTTGACATGATTTTATCCAAGCTAGCCTCTTTTTTTCAATAGAAGACAGAAGGGTCAGCTGTGCTCCAGAGCAGGTCATTCTACTTTCACGTTGTTTAGATCTATTCTCCTGGTAAGCTTCTGGAATTTCTTTAATCTCAGATTTCACAGAGTTTGCTTCTTTAGAAACCAAGGATCTTTCTGCCTTATAACCACTTGAGTTTTCACAAAGAGCTTGTCTACCTAAAGTATAATCTTGCTTGTTTATTTTGCTTTCTGTGTTTATTATGGTATCACTGGTGTTGTCAGTCACAATCACATCTAGAGCATTGTCTTTTGAATTCTTCTCAATTTCATTGGATTCTAAATCAATTTCAGCTTCTTGTAATACTACATCTTTTCCTATATTTCCAGAATGTTCTAATTCTAGTGGTAGTAGGTTTTGTTTCATTGAAACTATTGAAGCATTATTCTCTTCATATAATGCTCCCGTCTGTTCTATCTTTTCTTTTTCTTCTTGTTGTATCTTCTTCTGTTGATTGTCTTTGACTATTTGCTGTACTTCACTGCTTTTTGCCTCATTAATTTCTTGATTATGTCCTACTATTATTTCGGATTCTTGTTCCACATTCTCATCTATGGCATGTTTCAATTTTCCCTCTCTTTGTATTTGAGATTTTAATTCTTGCAGTTTAAACTGTTCTTTCACATTTTCTTTTAGATCTGGGTATTCTAATTCAAGTTTTTTATCTAAAATTTCCCTTCTTTTTAGATTGATTAATTGTTCTGAATACTGTTTTGCTAGATTTTCGTTTTTTTCTTTTTCTTTTAATTCTGCCAAACTTGCTTTGTTTGGTACATGTTCTTTTAATTGTTCTTCTACTGACTCTTTCAATAATAGTTGTCTATGTACATTTTCGCTCATAGTTGATTTCCCATTTATTACTAGCTTAACAGGAATTTCTTCCTGATTCTTTGATTTCTCATCCACTAGCTTTTTGGCTATATCCTCCTTATCCTTTGATGTACCTTCAATAGTTAAATGTTTGGTATTATAGTCTCCCTTCTTTAATGTTGTACTTGTTAACTGTTCACATGCATCTTCTCTGATTCTTAATTTTTCCTGAAATAATACTTTTTGTCTCTCCAGTCTCAGATTAATCTTTTTTTCTTCATATTCTTTTTGTCTCTTTTTAAATTCTTCCTGCTTTTGCTTTTTTTTCTCTTCTTCTATCCTTTGTTCCTCTTCCAGTCTTTTTCGTGTCTCGTCTTCTTTTTGTCGGATTTTTGCTTCCTTTTCTTTCCACTCTTGTGCTTTCTTTTTCTTATTTTCTACTTGTTCTTTTATGATTGGGCTATATTTCTGGTAAACTATGAATGCTTTATAACTAGCTTGGATTTTTATGGCTGCATTATGCTGCAGCTTTAACAAATGCATTTTTTCTTTTTCCTGAAGGTCTTCAAATCTTGTTCTTTCCTCTTCCATTTGTAAATGTAAGTTTTTAATAAACTCCTAAAAGAAAGTAATATAAGTAGTAATAAGAATACAATTAAATGTGCAATGCTATTACAATATCATCTCAAATAGTGAAAACAAATACCAAGACTAAATTCTCATAATGAAATTACAATAAAATTCTCTTTAGAATGACTTAAATCATTCCATTTTAATAGTATTATTTTTTTAAATTTTTAGGAGATTGGCTTAATATGTGAGCTAATGCTCTAATATAGCAATAAAGATAAATAATATATGCATATATATTGAAAAATTCCATTAACATAGAAAGCTTATGAAATCAGAATGACAAAGAAAGGAAGCAAAAGAAAACCACTGGCCCAAATTCACATAGGAGAAAATGACTTCAAAGCTTTCTGAGATGGGTGTTCTTACAGAGGAGACTCCAAGACTTGGTTCTGGGAATGAAGAAGCAAGGAATTATTTCGTAATAGTATGATAAAAGCAAGGACAGGGAGTCCACACATAGAAAAAACTGGCAGAATCAACTAGCCGTATGTTTTATTCCTCCTTAATTATCAAGAGTCTCCTGCATAAGCAGACTCTATAGTATGGCATTAGATAATTTGGAGTTAAGTAAGAAAATATCATCATTACTCAAGTCCTAAAACAAAAGTAAACAGACCAAAAAAATTCAGCAAATATTTGAGGGGTTATGGTATATTTTATATACTTTATTCTTGTAATTACTTAAAATCGTTTCAAATAAAAATTGTGAAAAAGAGCAAGAGCTTAATCAATATATCACCAGAATCAACTGAAATTCAAGGAGATTACTTAATATAGTTCATTAATTGTCATCAAGAAGTGAAGTAACTTTTCATAACATAATCTTCAACCATAATGAAATGTTCAAATGGATCTTCTTCAAAATTTAAAAGGAAATTCTACAATTATGATTTTATATGAACATGTTTAATCACTGAGCCACTCTATTTTCATTTACAGGATATTACACTTCAAGAAAAGTTTCTGATAATTAATGAGCTTTTAAAGCTTTGATAATTAAATCCTATGTCTGCTAGGCAGTATTATATTAAAACATCCATTTCAAGGATAGTAATCTATTTGAGATAAAAAATAATTACTGCACTAATTAAAAGCAACAAATAAGTACCTCATGCTGTTTAAATTTCTCCTCCCACATTTCTTCTTCTTTATGTAGCTCATCATTCATCTTGTCCTGCTCTTGCTGAACATATGATAATATTTAAATGTTATTATATTCAAATATAAAAGAATATTAAATTCATGATAGACTATTCTCACAACATATATTTATAAAAATGTTTCAAAATGTCAATGTACACAGTGATTCTTAATTATCAGTACTGGGGCAATAACTTTATCTCAACGTAAAGTGTTGTATAAATCCCAGGTAGAGTTCCCATTTTGAGCACATGAAAATACTGTTTGAAATCTGAATAAGCTATCTTATTCATATGAATTCATTTACATAATAAAGTATGTTGGCTAGAAATACTGTTGCGCACTACAAAAGTTTTAAATTAAAATGTTTATAAAGACTCTGGGGGGGGG